TTTGGAAAATTCAGGCTGAGTGGTCTAAAGTGCAGGGTTGAGTTATGAGTTACCCGAGTCAAACGCACAGGGAGTAGGGTGGTCTAGGGTCTTTCAAGGCATGGCTAGGGGCCTACCCTAAACCCTAAACCCTAACCCGAAACCCTAAACTCCTAGTTTGTGCTTCCTTCCCATCACAGGCTCTGGCGTGACTTCGTTCATTGCGCTTGTAGGTGTTTCCTTATAAGGACCATTCCTGTTTAGATGGAAATTGCTAATGATGGAGAGAATGTGTGCCAAGGACTTGGCATGTACAGTATGTAGAACAAGCCTTTTTGTGAACAAAATGACTTCTGTCCTCGCGAACTTTAGCAATTTGCTTTTTCATGCGCACAACATGGGGAAAAGAGACTACTAATATTCATGCATATGGCACCCTCAGCCATGTCGGTGAAGCGTGAGCTTCTGGCTTTTGGTCACAATTAATTCGTCCAGCTTTGGTTTCTTCGCAAAAGTATGCTTGCTTGTCGCGTAACGTTCATGCTGCCTGTCATCTGCAAAATTCGTATTCATAGAACATGTGGAAGCCGATCTCATTGTTTAAGGGTTTTGGCTTTCGACGGGGATCTTTTTGGCTCAACTGCATTTACGTGGGCCTGGTCCAATGATGGGATGTCTTGTGCGGCACGGAATTCTGAGGCGACTTTTGGTACCTTGGCCACCAGGCACGCATGCAAAGCTTGGCTCCAAGAGCATATAGGAGTAGTAGTAAAAGGAAGGGTTCGGTGCAGCACTAGTATGGGACTAGTGTCTGCAGACCGGTGGAACGTGGCCGTGGAAGGTTCCTGGTGTAAGCTGTATCTCACAAAAGTCATAAACCAGAGAATGCAAACTGGCCAGTGGGGCTCAGTTCCCCCTCTGACTCCCATCCCTCTACTCCCTTCCATCCACAGGGCCAAGCGACGCATCGTGATACTGATACTGTGGATGCGAGTTGTGCCGTGTGCCGGGCCGGTCAACCTGCTCGGAGTGTTAGGTCCAGAGCCGCTGGGTTCAGGGCTTGAGATAAGCAAACGATTCGTTCTTGCCACCTGTCTGACTGGGTCGCACTGCCGGGCTTAACACACGGTTTGGGGTTTACTTGGGTACGCTGTGGGGACGACTTCAGGGGATGGTTAGTTGAAACGACAGTCGGTTCGCTGAAACACAAGACAGAACTTCCCCACACTTGCTACACAGGCAACACGTACGTCATCCCCGCTACACATACGAGTGCCTACGCCCCCCTGGCGGGTCACGTGTGCGGGGAAACCTGGCTACGAGTTTATCTGTGGGCCACCCGGTACTCCCCTCTCGCGAATTTCTTGTTCCGCATCGTTTCACGTCTGCGCGCTGACGTCTGAGCATCAGCAAGTTTAAGATGCTAGCGCTTGCGCTTGCATTGCTCAACCTACTACTCTCTATCGATAGAACAGTTTCCAAGGGCTTCAACGAATCCAGTCTAGGCACCAACAGGGGACCATAAGATAGAGAACTGCCCTGGTCCTTTGCCAGACCCGGGTGCCCTTTATAGTACTCGGAACTACTGCCTCCAAGTCAGGAGCCTCGCACTTAACACAGGCAGGGATTCGGGATTGTGGGTTGGGCGTAGAATTTCCTCCGGAAGGTCTACAAGACAAACGTCTCCTGCTATTCTCTGGAAGCCTCATCCCCAGTTATCGCTGAACTAAGTCGCTGAACTACTCTCTGCTGACCCCGCGACGTCTTGAGTCTTATCCCAATGCCTCTTAACCACCCTAAACTAAACCCTAAACCCTAAGCCCTAAACCCTACACCCTAAACCCTACACCCTCCGCACCACATCCTGGTCCCGCCTTGCTCCACAGCTGTGGCTCGCTGGAGCCGCTTGCAGAGGTACTGGCAGAGGCCGAGCGGATCATCAGCGCCTGGATCGCACTTGTCTGGGCTCATAGAGGTTTTTTTGGTGAGTTTCTTCATAGGGCTTTTCTGGGTTCATAGAGTTTTTTTTCATGAGTTTCTTCATAGGGTTTTTCTGGGCTCATAGAGGTTTTTTTGGTGAGTTTCTTCATAGGGTGTTTCTGGGTTCATAGAGTTGTTTTTATGAGTTTCTTCATAGGGTTTTTCTGGGTTCATAGAGTTTTCTTTTATGAGTTTATTCATAGGGTTTTTCTGGGTTCATAGAGGGTTTTTTCTTAATGAGTTCTTTCATAGGGTTTTATAGGGTTGTTGTAGGGTTGTTAAGAGTTTTTTATAGGGTTTTTAGAAGTCTGTTCATAGGGGTTTTTATAGGGTTGTTATGAGTTTTTTACTAGGGTGTTTACGTAGGGTGTTCATAGAGTCTTTTTTGGCGACACTTCATAGGGTTTAGTTTGCTTTTTGTTTTTTGCCACCCGCCTAGCTTACAGGGTTCAGGGTTCAGGGTTCAAGGTTTAGGGCTGAGCAACACTCTCTCCGATGCTGACGTAAGGGCTCTTCAGTTTGGGATGGTTTCCTCCAGGCCTATGGAATCGAGTGCTCCTTGTACACTTTTGTGCCGATCTGGCCCCATCTGGCCCGTTTTTTGCGACAAAGACGCCACATGGTTGAAACACGTTGCTCAGGCACTAAGCGCCCCTTTCCACACACTCCCTCACCTCACGCGAGATGCTGGCGCAACAGTACGGAGAGTCCCGAAGATCTACAGGCGCTCCAAGGCTTTGACTGCTAAGCCCCAGCTACATCGCGCTCTCCCTCTCTCTCTCTCTCTCTCCTTCGGTTTTCGGGAATTTCTTGGGCAAGTGTGGCCCCGATGCCTGGCAACGTGAGTCAGCAACAGGGGCACGAGGATCGTCGAATTTTGAGCAAATGGCTGACGTCGCGCAGGGCCTTCTCGAACAGTCTCAACCCTAAACCCTAAACCCTAAACCCCTTTTATGTGCAGCCGGACTCAGAGCCCTGCAACCCTCTGTCCTAAGGACCAACCATGGCACCCTAAGCTCGACCTCAACCTCTTGTGGAACCCAGACTCAGAGCATCAGCCGGGACCTTTGAACCTTGTAAACCCTCAACTCGATGGCCCTTACAGAGTCTGAGTTCCCAGAGCCGAGATCTCTCCTAAGCCTTGTTTCGTTGAGAACCTCCCGAGGCTTGTTGTATCTAGATGCATGTGTGCAGCCCTTCATCCGTTCGGAGAACAAATTCTTCGACCGCGCAGAGTTCAGAGCCTTCCTCTCTTGAACTCCACTGCTAGGGATGTGCAGCTTATAGGGGGGTGCAACAGAAGCGACGCTTGACACAGATGTTCTTGGAACCCTCTCACCCTAAGCCCTAAACCCTCCATTTTCTTAACAAACTCCATGGTCCCGTAGGAACCGTAGGAAAACAAACCCACCGGCCCAGGGCCGGGCCCCTGACAGCCAAGGGATCTCCAGGCCGCCAGCCAGAGTGAAGACCTGGGAATTACTAGGGTTTAGGGTTTGAGGGGTTTAAAGGTTTAGAGTTTAGGGGGGAGAGGGGAGGGGAAAGGCCTTCAGGGCTTCAGGGCCCAGAGTTTTTGGGAACAGGGGATTCAGGAACTGTGGCTGCCGCGCGGCGCTTCGCTGCACCTTTGCGAAGCTTGCTGACACGAATGCAACTTTCCGCCACGCTCCAAGCAAGGTGGGGACCTGCGGGAAAAAAGCAGCTCTTGACCACGCGTACGCCTGAAGCCCAGACAAGACAGGCGCGCAAAACCCAGAGGTTCCCATGAATGCCAGACCTCATCCTAAACCCTAAACCCTAAACCCTAAACCCTAAACCCCAAACCCTAAACCCTGAACTCGGACTTCAAAGCCCAAAGCGAACCCACACGCCACAAAGGCTTCGGCCTGAAACGTAACTCTCCTCGGCTCGCGAGCTGAGGCTTCAGCAACCTCCTCCGCACCCGTCACGGCGCCGCTGCAGCTGCGGCACGGCGCCTGCGCTGGGGCGACGGAGCGGAACTAGGGTTTAGGGTTTAGGGTTTAAAAGTTCGTAAAGGCTGTCTTGGCCTTCAAGCCGAATAGACCCTTAGCCGTGGCCCTCAATACGTCTGAGAACTGTTGCCCACCGCAGAATTAGGGGCTCCCGCTTACATCCGCTTACTTGCTTTGGGTGTTTGTATTGATGGGGACTGTGCTGTCAGAAAGGTCCGGAACCCCAAGTCCCGAACACTTGACTCAAGGTTCAGGATGCGTACGGGGACTGGCGCTGATCTGAGCCTGACTTGCTGCTGGCCACGAACATGCTAGATCCACCCGATACCCCGATCAAAGCAACACGTACTAAAGTTTTCAGACGCCCAATTGCAATCGTCTCAAAATACAACTTTGACTGTTCCCGTCGGCTTGCAGTCAGGTTTGTATGCGAGTATACTGAGGCCGAGCCAGTCCTGGAGCTTCTCCACCACGAGAGTGAAGTCGGTCCTACCTGCAGCGTTGGTTCTTCCCACTTTTGGGGGGGCCGCGTTGGTTAGATCCTGGCCCACTGATGTAAGGAAAGCGTCGTCAGAAGGAGGCCGATTCTCACAGATCCTAGGGTCGAGCTTTCAGGGCATAAACTTGGACCCTAGGATCCTGAGAGCAGCATCCTGCTGATGACATTGTGGCGCCCTCCCCCGTCTTTTTTCTTCCACCCGCCTGGTTGACACCAATGCATCGCTCCGCCGGGATATACAGCAATCGAGGTCTTACGTCGGCTTCAAATCCAGAGTCCAAACATACCACCCACACATTCAGGTCCATACCTCAAGACACACTATAGTTCAAGGACATCAGCCGTGTCTATGCGCTACAGCACATGTGCCCATCTGGTCCTGCTGACCACAGAATGCCTGATTCTCCGTGCACCTATCGCTGGCCTATCGCTCACGTGACATCGACGTGGAGCCAGATGGGAGGTCAAGCGTTTAAGCATGCACCCACAGACACTTGCCACCTTCGGGCAAGGCGAGTAGGCATTGTGAGACCTGCAGCCGGCTGCAACTGAACTAACATGCAGTCGGCCTATCTGGAGGAACCTCTCTGCCCAAGGATGCTCAGAATCTCTTGATGCCCTGCTTTGAAGTCAGCAGCCACTTGCTTGAGAACTTTGTCCTGCTGCATCGCAAGCTGGCGTGCTTCGTTTGCAATCTTCACGATCATGCTGGCCTTGGAGGGGCCCATGAGGCGCTCGCAGCAAACAAGAAACTCCGGAGCCGTCAGGGAGCCATCGCCATCCCCTTGGTACCCCAGCAACCATATTACAATAAGGGCACCCAGTTTTTGGTTGGCTCATTTAAGTCTCTTTTTTTACAAGGGAACCTTTTGAACCAAAAAAAAGGAAAAGGGCACCACTGGGCGACCAGGTCTCTGTCGATCATGGAGAAGACGTGGTCTGGATCTTCGGTGTGTGCGTTGATCAGGTCCAAGAACTTCCGCATGCTCTCGTGGCCGTAGGCAGCGATGAACTGCTCCCTGGTCACGATCTTCTCGTCGGTGTCGACATCTCTGGCCGCATCCTGGCACAGCAGGCCCCACAAAGAGTCTAGAACCTCCTTCGTCTCGGCTTTCGCTGCGACTTTCATGGCGGAGTCCACGAAGCAGGCGGTGATGATGTTCATCATCGCAAAGAGCTCGAAGCCTGTGAAGGCTACAAAGAGGAGCTTGACCCAACTACCCAATGTCTCCTCCAGCTGGTTCATGAGCTCACTCCAATGAATTCCTTCAGAGATCACCATGTAGAGAGCCACCATCGTCGAGTCCAAGGACCCAAAGAAGTGAAGCATCTCCTCTTGGTGCTGCTCCATGACTTCTCGGCCCATTGCGATCTTGTGGTCTGAGACGACCTGCGTGATCACCACGGCGACGCCGTAGAGGCAGGCGAATATCAGGACCATGGTCCAGAAGAGAGACTGGAGTGAGTCAATGATGGAGCTGATCAAGATGTGAAGCTCAGGAAAGGCTGAGGCGATGCGCGCAATGCGCAAGATGCGAACGAGTTTCAGCACCCTGAGACCTTGAATGGTTCGTTGGCTGGCCGCCTCGCTGAAGGACTCAGAGCGCTCGATCACGCTCACAGCAAGATCGGCAACTTGAGTAGACACCACCACGGTGTCAAACAAGTTCCACCGCCACTGGTCCTCGTAGAAGAAGGCGATTCCTTGGGCACCGAAGCGGATGAACAGCTCCACGACGGCAAACACGCAAAACAGCCAGTCGGTGTAGTGGAACCAATCTGGAACAGTGGTGGTCCAGTTCCGGGCCACCCAGTCTGTGCTGACGCCGATCCAAACCGCATTCAGAACAACAAGCCAGGCGCTCAGCATTTCGAAGTAAGGATTGTGGATGATGTCCGAGCAGTACATCATGAAACCAGAACACCTCGACTTGTTTCGTCCATCATTCTCTTGGCCGCCATGAAGACCCATGTATCGCACACTGCCTGTCACGTCCCGCATCACCGCTGCTTCTTTCTGGTCTACCAGCAGCGAAGCGTCCCTTGGGGAGGAGCTGGCGGCGGGGACCTCGCCCGGGGCCGCGCCATGATGAGCCTCGAGGACCAGCTTCCGGCTCGGTTCGGCCTGCTCTCTTTCAGCGCCCCGCAACTCGCTGATGAGGCTCTCCTTCAGCGCAGCCAACTCTTCTCGGATGGCGGTGCTGGCAAAGTGCTTCAGCTCCTCACGGAGCTCTGCTGCCGAAAGCAGAGCCATGGCACTGCTGAGACCAGACCCAGCAGAACCCTCTACGAGCTTCTACGGTCTGTGCGTGAAATGCGCGCTTGCAGAGTGCACGTAAAGTAGTGCATCTGCTTCTTGAGGTGGTCAATGCACGCAAGAGCCTTTCCCAAGTCGTGCAGAGCAAGGCAAAAACAACCCTTGGCCAAATCTCAGAATGTGCTCGCTCGGACGGCACACTCGCTCTGCAGAAGCATGAGCCATTGAGGCTCTTGAGCTCACACTGAGGGGAGCACTCGGAGAGATGTAGGTCACGAAGGTACCACCTGCAAGGCTTTTCCAAAGAGGGGGTTCACAGCAACCTATTCCGGGGAAGCAGGACCGGAGAGGATTCGATGTCTGTAGCTTAGATTCGGTTTAGATGTTTTGCTTTTTTCTCTTTTCTCTTTTATTGGGGGGTTGGGGGGGGGGGGGGCTGTTGAGGGTTGAGGTCCTGGGTTTAATACGTGCTTTGTACCAGCCACCTAATTGGCAGTGTTTTTTTTGGAGCCCGCGCTATGCTACTGCCTGAGACGGGAGTGTGACTGCACTATCGCCCCCAGTGCTTGGGCACAGAGATGTTTAGAGTGACAAAATCTGCCTGTCTAAAGGCTGCTGCACCAGGACGGGTATGCTTGTGGACTTGATCTCTCCTTTGTCTGATGTCTCTGTATCTCTGTCTAGCGCTCCTCTCTTTCTGTTTCTTGCTTGCTTGCTTGCTGTTTCTCTCTCTCGCTCTCTCTCTTTCCTGCTCGCCCAACCAACTCCAACAACAGAACCGACTAGAGCATTTGAGTCAAGACCGAAACCGCATCCCAACAAGAACCCGAAACGGAATCCGAAGCACGTACCTCCCCCAAACATCCCTGACCCTCTTCCCATCTTCCGTTGGAGCCTTTCTTTAGGTGGCCACTTGCACCCGAAGGCGGTGTCACAGCCAACCAACCGGCCTACAGGACGCATCGGGCAGCCGCAAGGGCATAAGGTTTGGGTTTTATGGGCCCCGAAACCCTTAATGTTATGTACTTGTTGTGTGTATGCAAGCACATATATGTATAAGTATATTCTTTTCAAGTCCCTATCTTTCAGACAGTACGGTCGCATGCGTTTGGGATAGTCCATGACTAGGGTATTGACACACAGTCGGGCATGATCCGGGCTAGCATGCGATCATGGGCTATCCCATGAAAAGGGGGGGGGGGGGGGCATGCGCCCGTTGCCGACGGTTGGCTCTTCACCTGCACTTTCGGCGTTGCTGTCCTTGCTGAGCTCAAGGGTAGCACAATCTGAGAAAGACGTCTTATCAGGTGCTTGGGTTGGGGCTGCGTTGACAGCCAAGATCCGCGGACCTCCGTGAAGCGGGTGGTGTGGGCGAGCGTCCATAGCCCATCCTTGATGGAGTACCTTCAAGATTGCTTGTGGTCTTTCATGCTACTTCTAGTGCAGGCATGACAAAGTATTCCTTGATTCCCTGAAAAGTATCGTTTGCACGTAAGTTAAGCCTTGGATTCTTGCCCGGCCAGCGTGTCAGCTAGGTGCAAAAACGATACGAGTAGATTCTGTCGTCTTCCTGCCGATGCCAAGGTGATATGCTCTCGAAAGCAGAGCCAGCGCATCATGCCATATGTAAGTGGATAAAGATACCGTTTTCGGCATCCAAACTCCGATTGAGTAGCCGGCACCAGGTGCTCGCTGAGCTGACCCCGGAATGATCACAAAATGGCTATATGAGCAGGGCACGGCTTAAACCTTAAAACCCAAACTTGCAGGCGAAAGCCCCGAGCCTCACTCTCCACAGGGCAGCTGCTTTTGCACATTCTTCAGAATAATGCCGAAAGCAAACCCAGTGCAACCCTATACAACATAGTTCGTACCCTTTGAACCCTAGACCCGATACAACATGACTCGTGCAGGTTTGGGACTTTGCATGCTGTGCGCTGACCCTGTGCCTTTGAAGCCTAAACGCTTCACCACCCCAAGACCAGGGGGCCTCATGGCTTTGGGGTTTCGAACATTGGGACCTTCAGGGTATTGAGGGTATAGGGATTCTTCCCATGTCGCATGCAATCAAAACTAAACTTTAGGCTCTGGACCCCCCCCCCCCCCGCCCCACCCCTCCGGGCTGCCTTGGGAAAACCCGCGAAACTCTCCTCTCAGAGTGCCGCCTGCCAGACCAGGGTTCAACCGCTTCGATGAGGCCGTCGCGGATGCCCGGCAAGGATGGATGGACGGCCCAGGCCTCTGGATTTGAGGATTTGAGGGGTTTTCTCACACCCCTGCGCGCAGGCGAGCTAGCAGCAAACACTTTAGAGGACTTCGGCACTCATGACCTGGACGTGCTGGAACATACATGCTTGCACGCCAACTGTTTTGAACGCGAAGCGTGCAGCGGCGCCTTTGGCGGGCGGCGGGGCTTCATCAGAAATCCGTTCCGCCTATAGTACTAAATCCCCCCTCGAACTGTAAATTTTCAACTGCAGAGGAGCTTAGCAGGGGTTGGGAGGGGGGGGTAGAGTTTTAGTCCTGACGGAGGAATGGATTAAACCACACCGTCGGCAGAGGGTTTTCGCCTCAGGTGCAGCATTGATCTAATCTGTAATAAATTAGGCTTTGCAGGGATATGCACGAACCCACAGGGCCAGCTGAACTCTCCCTCGCAGGAAAAATCTTACCAAACTTGAAATTGATAAAACAGGTGCCTCGGGAAGAATAAGCCTTCTTCCGCCACACCTGGCCTAATTAGCCATGGACAGGCTGCTTCGCAAGCCATCCACCCCCGCTTTAAGCTGCTCCGCATGGCAGCCGTCCTCGCATTTGCGTAATGCAAGGCCAATCAGGCCCGAGAACGGCATCTTGGCCATAAACCTGTCGAGCTTGCCTTGTTGCTTCTGGGTCAGGCTTTGGAGGTTGTCCAGTTGGTGAAGTCGGGTCTTGAGCATCAGCAGCACCTCTTCAGCGGCATCTAAGAAGCCCTTGTCAACTGCACGGGCCCAGGCATGCTTCGTCGCGGGCGCCAGCGAATCGAACTCGGACGCCTGCTGCAAGATGGATCGAACTTCCTTGTTCGCGGTCACGACCGGGGTCTCAACATGCGAAAGGTGGCAGTAGTCGCAGGCCGAGCCTGCCACGCAACATCCCCTCGCGAAGTTGACGCAGGGCCTGTGACAAACCTCCGGGTGCCCAAAACTTCCTTGAGAAATCTCCACTTCAGCTGCCGACGCACTAGAATTCTTGCTGGAGATGCAAGGACTATCCGCATTGTCGCGGGTGTCGGCTTCAGTGGAGACCTCCTCCGCACTTGCCTCCGCACTTGCGTGCTTCTCCTCGGCATACTTGACATATCCCGGCTGCCTCTTCCGGAGCCAAAGATGAAGTTGGTCTGCACGACTTGCCAGGCCGCTTGCATAGGTCTGCTCAGTGTTTCGAGCATCTGGCGGCTCGCTGCGCGATCGCCTCTGGGAGGTGAGCATTTGCTCCTCATCATCGACGTCGAGAAAGGTTCTCTGACAGGTGAGCTTCAGCGTGTGGCCGAACATGACAGCAAGATACAGCAAGGGGTTTCTTGTCAGCGCTTCTAACTAATTCAGTGCAAATAGAAAATCTTGAGCCGTAGAGCCAAATAGTTTCGACTCATGAATTTGCAGACAACAGGGGAGAATAGAGAACTAGATAGATGACCTTTAGGTTTACGGTTGAGGCCTGCAAAATTGACTGAGCCCCCAGCCAGGGAGCGGACCAGCGTGCTCGTGGCCTCAGCTGGAAGCCACACCCTTTCCGTGCGGATGCGATGGGCCTTGTGCCCCGAAAACGTGAATTCGTGGGCTAGAGTTCAGGGAAGCCCCCCTAGCCCTAACCCTAAACCCATAACCCTTAACCCTAAACGCGAAACTTTAAACCCAACAAAACCCAAAACCCTAAACCTACGGCTCCACAGCTTGAAGCGCGGCAAGTCTTCTCGAGTTGGCTGCTTCAATACCACTGCCAAGACACATTCATCCGCACGAAGTTCCTCGGAAAAGGGCGAGCGGAAGGCAACCAAAGAAAGGCCACTGCTTCAGCTGGACGTAAAGAGCTCAAGGTTTTACGAAAGGGCTCCGGAATTTAAAGCCCGAAGCTCCAACGACGTTCTTTGCAGGGGAAAGTTCACGTTCGGGCTGCCGGGCGGGCCCAACACAACTTGAGCACGTGTAGGGAGAGTGTACAAATAGGGCTGGTCTTTCCGTTCACTCTATTGTTTTAAGCGTGGGTCGGTTTTTCATGGCCTGCTTCAGGTGACCTACAGTAGACCCTCAGTAGGCAAGCTTTGCAACCAGCGCCAGAGGACAGGGCTTGAACTGAGGCTTTCCCTCTTGATACCCCAGTTACTTCCTGCACTACAACTGTACTCCCCTTAGAACCTTTAATTTATAAAAATAATCTGTTTAATATTGTCTTGGGCTTTATATGAACAAAAATTAAATTAGTTCCCAAGGGGGATATAGTACAAGGAAGGTCTCTTAGAAGCCGGTTGTGCTGCCCAGGGCGCGTGTTGAGAATCCGTCCGAGGCAAGCGGCGCCCTTCCAGTCGGCCTGAGGGTTTAGGGTTTATAGGGTATAGGGTATAGGGTTTAGGGTTGATTTCCGTGCGTGTCAAGTCGGGCTTTGGGCTCGTGTAGGGAGGGCTCAGGATTGCGGGCGAATGGTATACAGCATCAGGGAAGCTTTCTTGCGAAACCCTGAAACCCCTGAACCCTACATCCTCAACCTCAGCCAGGCTGCTGGCAGCCCGACATCCTCCGAGCTCCAGAGCGACAGCGACGTCTGATTCCGAAGGGATGGCAGGGGCATGAAGCACGGATAGTGTAGGCCTCTGTGCTTCTGGCAGGAGCTTGGCTTGGGATGTCTGCGCATGCAGGCCGATGAAGACGCTCTCAAGGCAGTCTCTGCTTTCTCAACGTGTGTCGGTGTGCAATTCCGTGCCCAGAGCCTAATATTTCCAGATAGCAGGGACAAACCCCAAATCCATCTCTGCGTACCTAGCGCGTATACTCAAGCATAAACCCTAAACCCTTTTTGCAACAGGCTTCTGAGGTCCGCGCCCGGAGTGTGCTTTGGACAGCACTGGCTAAACCGAGAGAGCATGCAGTTTTGCAGCCCAACTAGAAGATATCTCATTGAACATGATGACATATTGAAACATCTTGAAAGCACTAGCATGTAACGACATCAACGAAGATGCATAGGCATCCAGAATCCAACTCTCAGCATGTAAACCCTAAACCCTAAATCCTAAACCCTAAACCCGAAACCCTAAACACCATGCAATACTGTGCTTCCTGCCATGGCTGAAGCTGCAGAGTTGAAGAGGCTCCGCATGGCCCGTGCATCCAACTGACACCGTCTTGCATCCTCTGGCCCTAGACTATACTCCCCTTAGAACCTTAAACATATATGCTGAATATCCTCTTGGGTTCTATATGAATAAAGAATAATTCCCAAGGGGGATATAGTAGATAAGCTGCAGTCAAAGGGCCCATGACACCATCGGCCAGGGCGGATGCAAACTCGGGCTCCGAGTCCCAGAGCTGCTCCACTACAGGGTCCTCAATCAGGCTTGCGACCCTCTCACACAAAAAGGCGCAGGCAGTCAAGCTTCTGGTAGTGCTACACTGGCAAACGACATTTATCCACACGAGAACACGAGACACACACGAGTATAAAAACGTTGTTTTGCTGCAGAGAGTGTGATGTATAATGTTCGCCAGATGGGGGCTTTGGACTAGGTTCTCCTAGAAGATTCAAACTGCCGCTTTCGCTTGCTTCAGGTTTGTGCTGCCGTGTCCATGCCACAGAAACCACCAAAGTTTGCGCGCTAGGAAGAGACCCGGCGCGTGAAGCATCGTCCGCATGAATGAGAATGAGACAAAACCTGTGGTCGAATGCTACGTCCTCAAGATGACGCTTTGAACGGCGATAGGCACATCACAGGACGAAGACGCATCAAGCACAGCCAAACACGAAGGAAAAGCTCTTTTGCATCCTTGCAAAGCATAAGCCTGGACGCACATAGCGTCTTGGTGGCCTATATCCCTTCTGGTTGTGAGCTACACCTTAGTTTGGGCAAGTTCCACACGGCTCCGTTGATGAAGATATAGATCCCAGTGGTAAGGTTGTACACTATATGGTTACCTGAACACTGGCACTGAGCCAGGGAGCATATGCAGAGTCGGGCAGAACCAGACGGGTCTCCCTGAACCCTGCATCATCCTTGGCCAAACAGGAACTTGCAACGAGCGTTCGCAAAAACGACTCCATGAGGGGCATGTGATCGAAGGCTTGTTTCGTGCATTTGCGCTTGGATGCCCTAGCCCCCCCCTAATTCCTAAACCCAGTTGCGCTTTAGGAATCCACTTAAACCCTGACCCCCTTAGACGCACTCAAATGGAGCCCATGAAATTCTAGTCACGAACAGACCTCGTGCTTCCATGTGTTGAAATGCAGGTGGGTCCAGAGGGCCGGCGGGGGAGGCTGCGAAGCAGAATGCCAAAGCTAACGCCTGAACTTGGGAACATGCGGTTGTGTGTGCGTTCGTTCTTGTGACTGAAATTTGTGCCTAAAATCCAGGTCCGATCGGGTATGTGCCGGGATCTTTACACTGGCAATTGTGACTCTGCAATTTTGCGGCTCCCAAGCTGCCACTAAACGCCAAACAAAGGATGCTGTTTTGGAGAGGTTTGCACCTGCGCAAGCTTCTCCTGTGAATAGCTGATGAGTTTTCACTGTCAGCTATTGCTTCACTGATAGTGCCTCAAAGGGACGTACAGTAGGTAGCCTGAAGCAACCAAAAGAAGCTGAGACTACAGCCCCGGCGCCTGCTCGATTGTTGTCAAACCGCGAATTCTCTTATCTCAGGATTCGTCTGCGAGCACAGCTGGCGCAATCAAACAAACAAACAAACACATCTGACAAATCTCACATAGAGCACCAAGTCCACCACGCGACTTTACGACCATCAAAGTTGCAGGCCATGGTGCTAAAGCTTGGCGCAGTGCCACTACCCAACGCCAGGGCGGCAGCGTGTGCGACTGCCCTTGGCCAACCCCCAAATCCGCAAACCTCCTGAAGACTGAACCTAGACCCTAAACCCTACACCCTAAACTCGGACTCTTGCCTGCATGGCCACTTCAGAGTTGGGAGCCTTGCAAAAGTCAGAGCCTCCCAGCGCGAAACCCGAAACCCTCATACTGAACCTGAGCCTGCACATGATGTCCCCCGGTATTTCTGACTGACAACTTGTGGGATGCTCCCCCTAATACTAAGAGTCCTCAATAGCGGGTACTATAATCAGGACTGTTAGCAAAAGGGGGAACATCCTAATGTGTAACCCCTTCCCAGACCGGTCTGGGGTTCGGACTTTGTCCCAACAGATCCACGAACAATGGCCGGGGGCGGTTGCCGATGTACTCGACCGCGCCCGCGTTGGTCTCCTGGGCTAAGGACTTCTTGGATCTGAGGGGAAGGTGTATCAACAATGAGATATTCTTCAAGGCTCAGCCGATATTCTTTACTCACATACTGGTAAATTGCCATCGCGAGGCACTGTGCACTACATTCAGCCCGGACACATTGGCACATTGAATCCAGCCTTGGTGTAAGAAGAAACTCGAGGGATCGAAGCAAGTCCAGGCACGTCCTTACGCAAGTTTTGCAAGCCACAGTGGCTCACAATGTAGTCCAGAGCGTCGTCGCTATAGAACTCTTGCCTGAGTTTACATGTTCTACTATGAGAGGCAGAAGCTCTCCGTGGAGACCTGACAGGGTTTGCGCATTTTTTGGAACCCAAGCCACTGTGTGCCATTGTCCACGCCCACCCAACTGGGAAAGGTCCAGGGTACGGCATAAACCTTGGCTTCGGGCTGCATATCCTTGACCTCTACAAAGGGGAGTTTTATGTCCACCTTGCTGCGCCGACCCTTTGAAAACAACAGCAGAGGGCACTTCAAGATCCCTAAACCTGCGCATCCCTGACAAGTGCACAAGATCCGCACCACCCTCAAGAAGCGCCAGTGCTCAGCAAGACTGAACCTCGCCGAAGACACAGCTAGAGCTGGATTTCGGAGTCGTGCCTGCCGTCAAGCTGGGACAAGTCTTCAGTTCAGGATTGCCTGGATTAGGCTGGCGTTTTAAACCAAGATCTGCTTGCAGCTGTAGAGACGGCTTCATGATGAAAGGGTCAGACCGGAGGTTAGCTTAGAATTCGAACAAGCCCATGTAGCATTTGGGCTCAAAGGCAGCTCCTAAACCCTAAGCCCGAAACCCCAAACCCTAAACCCCAAACCCTCTCCATGTGGAAGTGCACGCCCGAGCCTCGCGCACGAGCCAAAAGGTCCGTGAACGGTGGCAGACCTGGCTTGGGTCCCCACTTCTCGAAGTTTCTAGGGGGTTCCGGGCACTTACTAGCCAACAAAAACTGTAACCCACTTATAAGCCCCCTAAGTGCCGTAATATGGTTGTAAGTACGGTTGCAAGCAGGGGGTTCAGGGTTGGGATGCTCCCCACTATACTAACAGTCCTTCATAGGGATTATAGTACCCCCTCTTTTTTGGGGGTCCAGACTGACGACTGTTAGTATAAACGGGAACATTCCAAGTTCAGGGTTTCATGTACGAGCTGTGTCCTCATACCTCCGAACTCAGCCAGCCCAACCCGGAACTCTTCTCTGCTAACCCCTCACCCTACGGCGCAAGACTCTTGGGCGAAGCTCTAAACCCTAAACCCGCCTAAACCCTAAACCCTAAACCCTAAACCCTAAACCCTAAGACACAATCCAAGCCCGACCATGTGTGCGAGAAAGGGTTGGCAAACTTGGCGAAGCAGGATCTCGATCCCCCGGCTCCAAAATCTAGGTCGCAACACTTGCCAGAGAGAACCGTTTCATCCTGGGATCGGCGGTGGCTTGGTTCCGTTCCAAACCTCGGCATCCATAAGTGGGCAAAGCTATGGGGTGGGGTGGGGGGGGGGCACAGTGTTCTCAGAAGTCAGAAGCACAGCCGATCAGCCCCCTAGCTGCAGCTTCTCTTCAGGTAGCAGATTATGCGAGTTAAACCCACTATCTACCATGCCTTGGTGGACCCAACTGCAAATTCACTCACCATGGCCGAAACTAGGATAAAGGGGTCGGCAAAATCACAGGTTCCCTTCTGGTCCCTTTGTGATTATACTAGAATGACCCCCACAACCCTTTAACTGCAGCAAGTTGTAGAATTGTTCCGTGCTCTGAACTATTGCTGAGGATGTAGATGACATCTTCTTTACTTAGTGACTTCGACAGGCTTTCACCCGCATGCCCCAAAAACCCCAAAAACTGTATTCTAATTCTTCAGGCCCCTTTTGTAAGGGGCACCACTGGGGGGTTTCCAGCGAAGTTATGGACTCAAAGTGGCCCAGACTGCGCGTCTCCACCGATCTCCACCTTCAGAACCTGCGTGACATGGTGGCACACATCGCCCACACCCCCCTTGAGGACTTGCAGCTTAGGGACTTTAGCGTGCGCTTGTGGGGGGGGGGGGGGGGGGCTGTGTGTGTGCGGGTGATGGGGGAACGCTGGTGGCTGGGAGGGGGAGTTCTACTAAGTTTGCCATGTTCACGAACGAGTTGTACGCAGCTCGTCCAAACTCTAACCTCCGGACCTCTCATTTTCTGGCTTCAGAAACCCTCTAATCTTGGAGTGTCGCAAATGGGGCCCCTCACATGGGACCTTACGGGCGCTTGCTTCCCAAGAGCTGCTGCTGAACCCATGAGCATGAAGGCTACTCTAACTCCAGGTCTGCAGCTGCTGCTTGTAGCTG